TTAGGATTGACCCTATATATATATATATATACATATATATATTGATGAGTAGTATTTTTAAAAAATTTAATTGACTACAACTCTACAAAGGTTTATAATCAATTAAAGGTATTAATTAAAAAAAATTATTAAATTAGATTCAAATAATGTTTTAATATAAACAAGAATTTTTAAATCTTGACACAAACATTCAACCTTAACATCTTATGACAACGTGATTAGGGTTGTCAAAACGTCTCTTTGTTTGTGAATGACTCGTGTTCGACTCGATAAGTAAATGAGCCGAACACGAACACACTTTTTGAGCTCAAAATATAAACGAGTCGAACACGAGCTGAGCCTAAGCTCACTCGTGTTTGGCTTGTTTACACCCCTAATGATGCCCTATCAGCTCCTCCCTAGCTCGTGTGACGTGCCTCCTTTTCCCACTCGCGTCCCCGCATGCCATATCAGCTCCTCTCTGGCTCGTGTGATGTGCCTCCTTTTCCCACTCGCGTCCCCGCTGATGAAAACATCGCTCGCAAGCCTCCTTCACCGACCGGACCTCTTCCCTAGCAGTTGCAGCTCCCTTTCCCTCTGTCACAAAAATCCTAGGTCAGTGAAGTTTCATGCAACCCCACTACTCCATTTCACAATCTAAGGCATGCTGACCTCGCTTCCCCTTCTATTGTGCTCGAAGCTCTCCGGCTGGCGCTTCTCATTAGCGAATACCCCGATACTGGTCTTCCCAGCTTGTCCCTAGGGCTTGCTGGCAACACCTCCTCTCACACGTGGCTCTCCTTAGGCTTTGCTCGCTCGCATCCCTCTCAGTTGGATCTCTACTAACCGCATTTCTCTTGTCCTCTGACGAGATCGTCGACCAACTCTTCCCTTGCTCACGCGCGCTCCTAGAGCCCTAGTCTACTTTTTTTATGATCGGCCGAGTCAATGCGATGCCCTAGTTGTTTTAGCCTATGTCGTGAAGCCTTATGTTGACATCCCTCTCCGGTACAGTCCAAAATGACGAGTTTCATCAGCTCCCGTGGACTACTTCCCTTTATGTGCAAGAAAGCAGTCTGTTTCGGCTCTTTCTCTTCGTCGATGTCCCTTCGTCGCACGAAACAACCATCAACACCCTTTCTGGCAACCTTGTCGCTTCGAGTCGGTGCTACCTCCCTATTGGCCTGAAGCCCGATTAAAGCCTATCGCCACTGGCGGGGTGGTGACCACATTGCAGCATATAGACCTAGACAACACCTTTTGTGAAGGTATGTGTGGTCGTATTTTCATATGTGGTGATATTCATTTCAAATATTTGTATAACTCGCTCTAGCTCTCACTCATTTGTATTTTTCATTGTGAGATATGTCGGCACATGGACTGAACACCGACAGCTTAGAGCAAGCTGTGAGGGCATCCTTAACCTCCGCATTGGTGAGATTCTAAAAAGCCCCTTGCATTTTCTTACTTAGCTAGTCGTAAGAATGGATTTTGCTAGGTTTTTTAGATTTAGTCGCCCACACGAGGCAAGTTTAACCAGCTACCCGATATCGTCCGGCTCAATCAATCGTCTGTTATCGGATGGTTTGATTAGTCGAACG